TAAACAAATATTGTGTTGTACACAGTGTTTAAACCTAAACCTTACAGTATAAAATACAGTACTAACGACATAAAAGTAAAGTAAAACATAAAAATACCAAAATAACAACAAAAAAAATAAAGTCATTACAAAAATGTTTTGTTGAATTCAGTATTTAAAGTTCGACTTTACGACCATTTCGACTTACAACCGGTTTCTCGGAACCGAACTCGTCGTAAGACGGATGGTAGGTGTATTATTTATGGTAAATATTTTTTTCTCTCGATTGTTTGTTGGGCTATCTCATTGAAACATGGGCAATGTATGATGGAAAGAGGCTAGTAATGTACAATAAAAATAAAGACGAACGATAAATAAAGGAGTTAACTTCTCAGCCATTAGTCGCCTCTTTGCATATTTTCGTATGGTTTTTATGATTGTGTTCTCATTTTTTGGACTCATTTGATAGAATGGAAGATTATTACAGAAATGGACATGTTTTGATTGCTTTCATGACGAAAGTACCTTGAAATTGAGCTAAAAGTAGCGGAAATGTTCGATTTTTGCCGATGTTCAGTGAACTTTGTGTAAGTCAAGTTTGTTAATTTTATTAAGTGTATTCTAACCTAACCGGCTTTGTAATCCGGCAAACTCAGTAAACCAGCACACTACAGGTCTCAATGATGCCCGGGTTTGTGATGGGGGACCTGTACATAAAACAGTAAGCATCCGATAAAGCAGATGTTGACTAAAACGAACAAAAAGTCTCTGCTGAAAAAGGCACATGTATGTTCAATGGGGTGCCCTGACTAAAAATGTCTTGAAGTGACCAAATCTGCTATATTTAACAGCTATCCAGTCCATTCATGCATTCAATAAAATGGACCAACATGGTTAATCACAAGTTTGTTCAGTCTGAGGTTCATCCTGGACACATCTACTTTTCTTACTCCTGGGCAGTGGGGCCAATCGGTGATGTTTTGCATCAGTTGTGTTATTGTCTCTGTATCACTCTCCATCCTCATTGCATCTCCAGTTTTTCCTTGGTTTTACTGTATTTTTAATCTTTTTATTAAAGTATAAATACACAAGGTATACAGAACATACTTTATGAAGATAAACCTGCCCTAAATTTGGTCATAAAAACAATCAGGGGCAAGGAAAAGAAATGTTACAGGAATAAAAACTACAGTACAGTGGAAGCTTGACTTACGAGTGTCCCAACTTAGGAGTTTTTTGGAGATACAGCCGTCCCTAGGTTAGATTTTTGCTCTGAGTTACGAGCCAACATTTGAGTTACAAGCCAGCTCACCCCTCCCTCTTCCCCCTCAACCCAAAACCTGGACACCTCGCTTGTTTATCTATGATTTCATGCTTTAATTCCATGGGAAAACATTCTCTTTTTCTTCTCAGCAATAATAATAATATAATATTCACTCAGTAAGTCAGTCAAGTCACTCAGTAATTTAGTCAAGTCATTCAGTAAGTCAGTCATGTCACTCAGTAAGTCAGTCAAGTCATTCAGTAAGTCAGTCTAGTCACTCAGTAAGCCAGTCAAGTCACTCAGTAAGTCAGTCAAGTCACTCAGTAAGTCAAGTCATTCAGTAAGTCAGTCTAGTCACTCAGTAAGTCAGTCAAGTCACTCAATCAGTCAAATCATTCAGTAAGTTAGTCAAGTCATTCAGTCAAGTCACTCAGTAAGTCAGTCATGTCACTCAATCAGTCAAATCATTCGGTAAGTCAGTCAAGTCACTCAGTAAGTCAGTCAAGTCATTCAGTAAGTCTAGTTTATTCAGTAAGTCAATCAAGTCACTCAGTAAGTCATTCAGTCAGTCAAGTCACTCAGTCATTCAAGTCACACAAACTCATGTTAACCTTTTTTTTCCGTGTACAAAGTAACACTTCAATTACTGCTACAGGTTATCTCTTGTTTAATATTTTTTGTTAATTCTAAGGCTTATGTGCTTATACCTCTTCATGCCACTTTCAGCAAAACTATAGGCTACTGGGTGTCATGATTGCTTGGCAGATACAAGATATAGTAATTAAAACATCGTAAACAATTGAAAACACAGCTGCCTTGTAAACAGAGAAAGACTGGACTGGACACGTATGAATTACGAACGTTGGATGGTGGGGGGTGGTGTCGGGAGTGGTAGGGGATGGGTCCCCGGCTGCTCTACAACAAGGTGGCCGCTTGAGCTAAAGAGAATTTTTTTTTTCCTTTCCACAAACTGAAACCCTGTTAAATTAATTATACGACCATTACATAAAATTGTGCAGCAATTCTTCAGTGGGAGTGTACTGTATTATTATATTAACGATAGCCCCTTCAGTTCCCTAAATTAATAATAATAATTATAAAGATAGAGCTTCAGTTCCCTAAATTAATAGTGATTTAAAACTAATAATGTAATTATAACGATAGAGCTTCAGTTCCCTAAATTAATAATAATAATTATAATAATGATAATGCATAATACGTACATAATAATTCAGATTTCTTTGCTAGTTGGCACAGCTGCAGTAAACATTGTTTACATCCCTGTGGCGGCAGTTCTCTCGTGCTTGTTTGATTTTTTACAAATCATTTGGCCAAATTTCTTTTTTCTAACCATGGGTCCTAGTGATCTACTGCAGTTAGCCTCAAAAATCTCCGTTTTCCCTTACAGTAAGAACATGGAAGATACTATAGCCAAATTGAGACAGAAATGGCGACGCTTCTTTCCGCTGACTCTGCCACCGTATTATGGCCTATTTTATTCATTCTAGAGTATATATCAAGTTTCTGTGCTAATTATATTGTTTATTATGTCATATTAGATGAATTGTGATAGATAACAGAGTGCAGGAACAAATTAATGGCTTTTCAATTTAAATGAAGAAAATTAACTTATATACGAGTAAATTGAGTTACGAGCTAGCTCCTGGAACGGATTTAACTCGTAAGTCAAGGTTCCACTGTATTTAAAAAGCACAAAGTAAAGCTAAATGTGCACAGAATGTAAGCAGAATTTGGTAATATTTAAGACATGGTTCTAGCAGTCTTGCCAAACATTCAAAGGGCTTTTGTTTCATACTTGTATGGCTATATGGTAGTACCTTCCTGGACTGTTGCTGTCTGCCAACCTTCCACTAGCCACCTCACTTACTAATATTCCTACTGTGATCATGAAAAATACTTGAAAAAATATATTATAATTGTAGTGATAAAATATAAAGTGAAAAATTTGTGCACCATTTTAGTTTGTCAGTAAACCATTCAGTTAATTATTGATGTGAAGCTCTAACTTGGGTTTTAACACTGGTGATTGCAAAGTTAACTCATTATTTTATAGAATCTCACACTTTGTTACATCAAAAAATTATGAGTAAAGAAAACCATGTATTCATGTGTGTGCTGAAAGTTTGTACTGTGTTAAAATATCTTCTTTTATTTTCAGATTTTTTCTGTTATTTTCACCATCAAATCCTTTTTTCATGTGTACAGGCAGGCTTCGCTTATTCAGCAGGTTCAGTTCTGGGCTACTGCTGTAAAAATGAAAATCACTGTAAAGTGAAACACGTTCTTTTTTCTCTTTCATATGCATATAAAAGCCCGGGGAACATGTTTGCACTATCATATATTAACCCTTTCAGGGTTTCGGCCGTACTAGTACAGCTTAAGAGCCAGGGTTTTTGACGTACTAGTACGCCTCATTTCTAGCGCCCTCAAATCTAGTGAGAGAAAGCTGGTAGACCTACATA